AAGTGGTTGGGTTAGCAAGATAAAGCCTCCATAAGATGCTCCTAGGAGTACTTAGAATGACTAATTAATCCCTTCTAACTTAGGCTCTAACTCTGAATTTGAGTCTAAATTCTCTTGTTGTAGGTAGTGGTACTACTTTTTTTCTACCATCTAGACAACCAGGACAAGGGGTAATGGGTTAAAACTTAAACAGGGCAAGTTTAGATTGGATATAAGGAGGAAATTCTTTCCTGTGAGGGTGGTGAGGCACTGGAATGGGTTGCCCAGTGGGGTTGTGAATGCTTTGTCCCTGGCAGTATTCAAGACCAGGCTGGGCGAAGCCTTGGGTGTTATGGTTTACTGTGAGGTGTCCCTGCCCGTCGCAGGGGGGGTTGGAACTAGATGATCTTAAGGTCCTTTCCAACCCTAACTATTCTATGATTCTAATTGTACATACCTATTAGAAACTGTGTATCTAGGTTTCATATACCCTCCATCCATTTCTTCATGTGCCATATAAAAATTAATGTTTTACTCATATTCTTAAACCAGGGAAATTTGTCATTAATTTATGTGTGTGTGTTATTGCCTTGAGTTGTTTTAGGTAATTGCATCAACTTTATTAAAACCTTTCACCATAAAGATAATTTATTTTCTACTTTGTATGACCCAGAGATGGCCAAATGTTTTTCTTACCAAAAAATTGCCTGCATGAAAGATTTGTAAGTCTGTAAGCTTTCTTTTCTATAGACCCACACTTAAAAATTGACGATAAACAAACCTAACAAGTATTCTCCATAACAATTCTAATCAAGACAGGAATAAATAAAGCCAGGAGTGGTCTGTACCAATAGGTACCTCAGAATAACTGAGATTGTCACAGGTAGTGGTATAGCAGTCTTTTGTATATGAGGGTGCTCCTCTCAGATATTTGAGCATCTGGTTCCTCTGTCTTGGCTGTGTTTTACATATCTGCTTTTCCTGCCATGGTGCTTTGACCTTAAGGGATTGGAATGCAATGAGATGAAAAGCTCACCGATTGAGATGAAGACAAAACACCCATGCAGGGCTTGACCCCTTCTTGAACGTGGTTTCCCAGAGGCACCACCAGCATCACTGATGGCTCCGTGTCCCCTGCAGTGGTGCTGTGTGGAGCTGGCACTGTGCAGTCCTGGCCTCCCCTCACAGAATTCTGTGAAGAAACATTCTTATCAGTAACAAATTGGAAATTAAAATTAGAAGGCAGTTAACGACTAAAGAACCTGTATTAGACTTTGAAGATAATTAAGTACTAAAAGATATCCCAGATTTACTTATGAAAACTTTAAACTTATAATGTAATTTTTTGTGGGCCATTGGGTGGCTGTCTGAAAAACAGAAATAGACATTTATATGCAGAGAAGGAAGGTGGCTATTCAAAACCATTTCACCAAAAGAAATAATGAAAACAACCACTCTCTGAAGAGAAACCTTTGAAATTACTTAAAGTAATAGTAAGAATGAGACTGGTTATATTTTCCTGTAAATGTTGCTGACTGCAGAGTGGAAGGCAATCACGACTTATATAAAACAAAGCAGAGTGCTTAAAACAGGTTTGCACAGCCTGAATAATTTACTAAACTGGTAATATAATTATATTTGGGGTGCTGACAATGATCCTGGCTTCAGATATGGTAAAAAGGATGGGAAGTCAAGAAGTATCCGTTAAAAAGGGAGAGTATTGAGTAAGTGTTTACTTAGACAAATAGACTAAAATCTGCTCATGCCTGCAGTTTTCAGTTTTATATTCCTTTTCTGTGTTTTATTGGTGTGCTTAATTTGTCAACGTTTCTTAGTTTTACTGGATGCTGTAGCCAAGGTCTGCTTTGCATCCTATCATGGGGACTTGTGAGGTGTAACAGTTCTCATATACGCCTGATTATCCTTTGTTGTTTGTATGCATAATTTTGTCAAAAGTGAAATTGGGATTTAGCCTTGAGTGTTCCTGAAAATATGACTGGATTGATTATGATGAACAGAACTTCATCATTATGAACATAATTCTATAACTTTTAAGTTGGGACATTAAAAGCATAGTCAATCTTCTCAGGTTTTCACACAATAAACAGCTGCAGAGGTCTGCAGATTTTTTTTTTTTTGGTCAGTTCAAATCTGTCTTTATACTTACAACTTATACATATGTTGTTATAATCAGGTAGAAACCCAGATACTTTCTGAATGCTCAGTTGCAATCTCTTGTTATCAAAAGAATGAATGCAGTACCTTTCACACATCAGTCAAGTTTTACATGAAAACTAGATAGACTTTCCTGCCTTTCTTCTTTATTGAAAGACTGAAATCTCACTCCTCTGACAGGCACAATCTAATTTTCCACCTGGTTTTATTTAGAGCCTGTTAAAAGTAATTTTATTTTTTGTGCCAGTATTGTCTTTCACTTGAATGCTTCTTTCCTTTGCATGTGTTGGGTTTTTTTAAACAGCAGTATATTTTTGTTGTTTTTCTTTGTTGTTTCTTTGCTTTGTTGTTTTTTCTGTTTTGTGAGCAGTGGGACTTTATGGATTTTTTTTGTAGGATTTTTTTGTTTATTTTTTATTGTACAAGATAAGATCTAAGGCAGCTTCTTTTACAAACTGGTCATGTAAGGATAGATGGTCATAACTTTGGTGCTGCAGGCCTTTGTTTTGAAAATACAGTAGAACAGTAGTTTTAAATGCAGCTGCTGACTTAAGCCGTAATGTCTGGAAATTATTCCGCAGAGATTAGTCCTTTGTCATCTTAATAAAATGAAACAGAGATCATGTATCTGTTCCTATGGGCCTGTCATAGGAATAAAGACTGATTTGAACAAATTGACCAAAAAATAATTGTGATTTTTTTTTTTTTTTGGCCATTGGTCTCAGACACAGTGGTCTTGATAATAATAGATGAAAGTAGACGAAGAGCAAATTGTCTTGAATGTGAAAATGAATTTGCTGGAATTTCACAGAAAAATACTACTATTCTTGTGTTTCGCAAAGCAATTAACATATTTTTGACCAGTGTCGACTGATAAAGTGTTTCGCTCTAGACCTGTTAGCTCAGGAAAAGTGTGGACCTATTAGAGTGGTCCAGATGAGGAACACAAAAATGCTCAGAGGGCTGGAGCCCCCGTCTTATTGGAGAAGAAATGAGAGAGTTGGACTTACTTAGCCTGGAGAAAAGAAGGCTCCAGGGAGACATCCCCATGCCCCATCCCTGGGAACACTCAAGGCCGGTCTGGGTGGGTCACTGAGCAATCTGATCTAGTTAAAGATGCCCTTGGTCACTGCAGAGGGGCTGGAACTAGATGACCTTTAAAGTTCTCTTCCAACCCAAGAATTCTATGATTCTTTTTATTATCAGTTTCCAACTGTATCTAAAACTATCTAGATTTAATATAGCTGAGTAATAAGACTGCACTTTCTTTCTTATTCCACATCACATCATATGCAATCCAAAGATTACTACATTGACTTTAGAGTACAGTGTTGAACAAGCCCTGGATATTGAAGGGGCATGTACCCCTAAATCTTCAGCTGTGCCAGTGCCACATGAATCAGTTGACTTCACACCAGAGTTTGCTTTTAAGCTGTTAAACTATATATCTAGTAAACAATAAGGCTTGCAAAAGGCTTGCAAGAACAGTTGTTCAAGAAGTGAGGATAAGCAGTGAGCAGAGGTTAGAATGGACTGTGACAGTATTTACAAACAATCAATATGAGCAGAGCAGATAGTGTACTCTTAACAAATACTCCTACTCGCACCCAGCACATTGAATTATAAAAGTGGAATGTATTTATAAGCATAACAAAATACAAGCAGATGTGATAATAAGCTATCCATTTTAATAAGGGATTAGAATTCTGACCTAATTCTTTCCCAGTAGGTTTTATCACTAACTTATAAATAACTTACAGGTATAAGACATGGCAATGAAGAATAAATTAACAGAATAAACAAAATGCTAAGAGACTTCCAACCCCTGCTGCTGCCACTTTTCTCAGGGAAAGACTGGAAGAGAGTGATATTAGCGTTTGCTCTCAGGTTCATTTTCTGTCTGGCTTAACTCCATTAAAGACTTGAGTCTGGGGACGCGTAGGGTAGGTGAATATGAGAGCTGTGTCTGTGATCTGTTTATTGCTGTGTTTTACTGATTTGCTTTACTGCAGGTACAGCATGCACTTACAATCTCATTTGGCCTTTGCTGTTACCTAAGAAGTTTTGGCATGCTTTGCCCTAACAGCAGATTAAGTTTTGGTAGCTCACTGTGATTTTACATTGCAAGCAGATTGGAAAGTTGAGATATACAGTATGATCTTTCTTGCCAGTTTTTATTAGTAAAGGAAGTACAAAGAAATCTTAAGGTGCCTATATTAGCTTTACAAGTGCTTTCGTTCATTGGGATGTGAGTGTGCATATGTGTATATGTATCTGTTTAGATAAGACCGTGTTTGTTGTTTCCATATCTTCTTAGAAAATCTGGAGAACTGCCAAAGTTACCTAACATAATACTTCATAGCGTTATCACTGAGCAAATGTATTTAATATGTCTAATGTGTTCTAGCCTTCCAACAACAAAAAAATGCTTTTAGCTGAGCATTAGGTGATGTGTCAGTTACACCGTGATAGTTCTATATGTGCCCACTCTAAATGTGCTTGAAAAGGGTAAAAAAAAAAAAAAAAACAGAAGCAAAACCCAAAACACGCAAATGTTCACATGATTAGTTTTCAATTTATAGGGAGGTCTTTTTCCTCTTACACTTTAGTAAACTTTTTCTTCAGGGAATGTGGCATTTTCAAGTTGCCACGGGGTATCTTTATTTGAATGTACATCTTTCTCTTTTGCTTAGGTTGAAAATCTGCTCTGAGCTTAGTCCAAAAGAATGGGCTGTGAGTGATATCCTGGGCAGGGTTTGGTTACAGCACCTATTATTTTTTTACTTAGTCTTTGCTCACTGTGATAGTGAACTAATGAATTTTCTCCTTTCCTTTTGTTCATACAGCTTGAAGTTGAGATCACTGATGTAAATGGGAAAATCATTGATGGTCCAGTCCGCCTAGAAGTTTTAGTTATTGATCAAAATGATAACAAGCCATTGTTTAAAGATGGACCCTATGTTGGCCATGTCATGGAGGGATCCCCTACAGGTAAGTCCATGCCAATCATATCTCTACAAATAATGCCTGAACAAATTCTGTATTGATAAATGCACTCTTTTCATATTGTACAACTTTTCTTGCTGATTTTGTGTCTCACTGAATCCTTCCCCCATATAAAGAGGTGGGAGCAGCCCTTTAGGACAGCAAATAATGATTTTTGAAAAACAGTAAATTCTCTGCAGTAAAAAAAGGAAGGTGGGTTAAAAAAAAAAAAAAGTAAAGTAACACAGTTTGGAATGAAAGCTTCAATTTAGGTTTACACTTTTTTATTCACTTCTGCAATCAAGGAAGACAACCCCTGGGATATGATTAAGATTCAGACCAAATAGTATGTACAGTTTCTGTTCAGAGTGAGAATTCCAGCTTTATAAGGTTAGCTTCTGGAAGAGTAACTTTGTGTATGTAGCATAAGGCTAGGCATAAATGGAGAGCACATCATGGATATGCAAATATTGTAGGGAAAATTGAAATACTGAACAATGTTACTTGTGTACATGCAGATACAACAGTTGCAACAAAATAAAAACACACTTTGGGAATTAATAGTGAAAATGTTCTGATTAAATTCATTCTTGATTTTGTCTGATGATGAAATTCTGTAAGTATAAAGTATTGTTCCAAATTTCAGTTTGGGTACGACCAGCTAAACTCTTCCTGCAGATGAAGGCTGAATTAGTTTTCTTCAGCTGTTCTCCTCAGCTGCTGTGCAATTTTGCTGTGAGTTATTAAACAACTATTGCATTCCATTGAACTGGTACCTTCACTGCATTCGTAAAAGATAATTGTATTATGCTATGGAGTTAATGTGGGTCTTGGTGAAAGAAATCGAAACCAATAGAAGCTCCTGTTAATATCAGTGGAGTGACAGTGATCTAATAGAGATCAGAGTTCTGGGTTATATATTTGTAACATATACATCACTGAACACAAGGCCCTATCTTCCTTAAACAGTTGACGCTGTGAGTGTTGACATAAAGTTTTGGTTGTATGGGCATTCTGGAATATTTTGAAATGAAAATGGAATCAAAGTATATTATGTTTTTACGAATATTTAATATTCATAGAAGCTTAATGTGGTGACATGTTCTTTGTTTACTCTGAACAAGGATAGACATTACCTTTCACTTCTTTGTATTATATATTCATAGGACTAGATGCTATTCTTTGTCATTACTTTATTATTTATGTAGTTTCTAGAAATCACGTAACCTTTTTAGTGAGTTTTGCATTTTCACATATAGTTGCCATTGTTTGTTTGAAAAGCTGTAGGTAGGAAATGCATTATGTGCTGCTCCTTCATCAGGTTCAAAACAGTTTTCAGGTAAATGTTCATTTACTGTACTTGTGAGAAGCATGTAATGAACCAATTGACAGACTTTTAATTCAAACAAAAAATGTATTTTGTGAGTAAGGCTGCAAGTGGAACACTCTTTTCTGTTGTAGGTCTCTAGTGCATTCTTAATTTATTTCAGGTATCAATCCCTTATTCACAATTCAAAACAAACTTCTTAGATTGTCCCACTTCCCATTTCCCCTGTAACAAGAGTTCCATCATTAACTGAGACCATATTGCTAAACAAAATGTCAGAGATTCCTTTGCACAGTTAATAGTATGTAGCAGAACGTGACTATCTAATCAGATCGCGGGTCCTACTTTATCATTTGAACTAGAGCAGCATCTTGTCATGATCACTTAGATACACATTCCTAAACCACTGAGTAGGATGGTGTAGCTTAGATTGACAGCCCCTAAATCCAGTATTTTTGTAAAAGAAGTGGTGTCAAACAACTCAAACACTGCAGTGTTTGAGCTTCACCCAGCTGGTAGTATATGAACTCTGTGTGTGAACTATGAGCCCTTGACAAGTCTTTCAGTGGTCTCATCTCTCTCCATCAAAACAAAAGTTTACACTGCTTATACACCACATGCCTTTCCCAAACAATATTTAGTCTAATGCTTAGCTTTCACTGTTAATTACAGATTAGGGGACAATATTTAACCATTATCTGTTATATGTTTTTTCTTTACTTAAACACTACACTGTTTCTTTTCTCTGCCAGTTGTTTTTGTTGGATTTTTTTTGTTTGTTTTAAGCTGTCAGTTCTTTATATTTGTTCATCTATAAACTATCCTTGCTTTTCCTTTTTTTTTTTTTTTCACTTCTTTTGTTCAAGTTTATGCTTCTGATTTAAGAGAAATGTTTCTCAGTCCAACTTCCAGTGAATTCTTCTGTAATTGTTTTCATCCATTTTCTTTTGGTGTACTTCGGTATTTATCCATGTCACATTTGGCATTTTGATTGTATTGCTTGTTAGTCAAAGTTTGATTTTTTTTTTCAACTTTATCTTTTCTTATCGTCTCCCTTTTTCCCCCAGGCATTCATCACATCAAACTCTATAACCTCATTTTCCTGGTGTCATGAGCACCACTACCTGCAAAATTATTTTGTACAAAAGCAAACCTGTAGAATCAGTGTTAGCTAGAATCTGTCACAGTTCTCTATGCAGAAGGCATTCAGTCAACCAAGGCTTCATGTCGTTTACAGCTGTTTTCCATAGTTCTTCAAATTTTATGGCATATGTCTTAAAATTATTCATCAGGTTCTGCTGTCTTGCTGCTCCCAATCAATAGTTGCACTGCACAGCTTGACAGAAATCTTTATGTGTGTGTGCGTTTGCATGTATGATTCCTGATTCCTTCTTTTTGTGTTAAAATTGTTGTGTTGCTTTTTTGAAGTTCCAAAAGATCGGCTTTGCATACATAACCTCATTTCTTATCACAGCCACCTTCATCTTCATTGAAGTTTTGAGTCAAACCCATTCTCTGAAAGAGTCTTCTGGTGAAAAAATAAAAAATGCTCATATGGGTATCTTGGATTTGTCTTCATGATCACTGGTCAAAATGTAAATGTCCATGTTTTCCTATAATTCAGTGATGACAGATGTATAATTACGTAGAGAAAGATATAAATATACTGGACTGTGAAACCTGCCTGAAGGATTCTGAGGCCTTGTAGAAGGGCTTAGATGATGCTGTTACCTTTCTTTATTGCTGGCTTCCGGTGTTTTCCTGTGAGGCCTTAATTTCGGTAGTCACAAACCCAATGGAATTTTCTAGTGACAGTCCACCTATTTATTGACTCTAAAATTGCACCTACTCATTGTCTGCTATTCATGAGAAGTACCAGAAATTTACTAAGAAATAAAATTTGGAGAAAGTTAGCATCACAAATTCAAATACATAAACCTTAATTTTAATATTAAAGTGAGTGTTTGTGTTGAAATTCATTGGTGTTGCTGTAAAACACACATTTCAGCTTTTTATTTTCTTCTAAAATGACTTTTTTTCCTCAGTGATTGGAAGGTTTAGCTCCTTGGTTAGGGACAGACAGAGAAGTTGAAGGGAAATGCTGGGCCAAGCCCCTTGTAAGAACCCTCCTTTCTCTGCCTTTGGAGATAAGTACAACTAGAAGAAAACAAAAAGATCCCAAGGAAATAGTGTGTAATTGTTGTATTTATTTAACCTTAAAAATAATAAAGAATTGTTTGTGCATAGTCCCAGTGAGGATGTATTTTGGTGGTGTTTTAATACATTTTCTCTATTACTAAGGCCATTCACTTTTTTTAGTGGGACTTTTGAACTTGGAATGAATACCACTGCTTTTTTGGACATGCTCAATTTGTGCATTTTACTAGAGAGGCAAGAACCTGGGCATAATTACTGAGAAGATAAATCTGTATTTGCGTTACATGAATAAACATTCATCTGCATTTCAAGCCCAGGCTCGCCACAGCTTCTAATTAATGATAAAAATATGTAATATAATAACGTATTTCTTTCCTGATATATCTTTCCTGAAGAAATTTCATGACAAAGTTAATCGCTTTTTTCATGGAAAATTGTCATATTCCTGGAAATAGCCTAGAATCAAATTCTAACAAAAGCACACTTAAATGTATACTTAAAGTATATACTTAAAGTGACCGTAGATGTTTCCAGATTTAGGAGGTGTTTTCCCGGACAAACTGCAAAACTTGAAGATATTTATTAAATAAAAAATAAAGGGGGTGGGGGAGGGGAAGCAGCGGAAAGGTAAAAAAAAGAAGTAGAGAAATATTTTGAATTTATGGAATTAATTTCTTTCATCATTTCTTTGTGAGACTGAAGTCAGCATATATAGACCAGCAAAATAACATCTGAGCCTTATTCAGTGACACCCATGCAATTTTTCCACTGACTGTAATGGGTTTTATGTTAACTGTACTGCTGATTTCTCACAGTTTTGTTTTCTAGGTTATGACCCAGTTTATTTCCTATAGATCTTGGATGTATCCAGCTGCCAGATCTATGGTTTAGGATGTGTCCTGCTGCAGACTTACCTCAGTACGTTAGTGAGGGTGACTCTAATCTTACAGATTACATAGGCAGGCAGAAACATTTGGATGTCTCACTCTTTAAAGGCTGGCGAATGAAGGCTGGTTAAATGAACTTGGAAGCCCTCTCATTTCACTTGCTGGAGGTGTTTAACAGAAATTATTTTAAACACATTTGACACTATGTGACTTGTAACAATATGCTGCAAGCCCAGTGGGTTAAAATCTTAACTGCAGTGGTTGAGAAAATTGTTTGAGAATTGCATTTTAGAGAGTAATAACTTGTTTTCCATGATGTACAATAGCCTGAACCCATTGTGATCCAGGCAAGGAGCCCCAAACCAAGACTGATAGATGTTTATAAAACAATTACTAGAAATAAAGGAACATTTGAAGACAGAGAGGAAACAGAAGGAATTAGGATGAATAAGCTAAAGACTTGTTCAGCATCATAAAATTATAATTTGTAAAAATGGATAAAGCATGATGAAGGGTCTGAAACACTAATTATTGATTGCCATGCATTGCACATGGCTGAGATTTGGGTAAATGAAAGCTTATTCTAAAGATAATGCCTTCTTATCAAGCACAGCAAGCCAGGATGTATTTTGTTT